GATTTGTGTCTTACAGTGTCTGGCCAAAGTTTTTCTGTGGGAATCCTAAGGATGATGTGTACCATTAGTTTAATCATTTACATTGATGGTCATATATCATTTTTGAGATGATGTTTAGAATTCGTGTGAGTTTCCCACATGTTTACAAGGGTTGGTGTAGTAATGGTACAATGGTTTAAGTGTAGCCACTCATGCGAATTGGAACATTCTTTTGAACATCTTCAAATGCATATTTGGATATACTAATGATTGTAATAATGCTTTCTAACAATTGCATTATCTTTATCAATGATGCAATTTGGCATTTGTTTCTAAAGCTTCTTACTTCTTGTATAGCTAAATATATTAGAGCAGATCAAGTTGAGAATGTTATGGCTAGCATTTAGTCAAGATTTTATTAGACTTATGTAAGCACTTGCTCTAGCCACCCTTGATGATGCTCTTCACTTGGCAATGTTATGAGACATCATTACTTCCACTTCTCACTATATGTCCTTCAACTCCAATTCCTATGGGAGATGGTTATGTTCCAATGGAAGTTAATGCTACTGCTACCCAAGTTCAAGGACAAGGGTGAGGACGTGGTCGTAGCTGTGATAACCACTATTGGGTGCATGATAAAGTTGGTAATATATATCAGCATTGTCAATGTTTTTCAGATTGGTGTCCTTCATTTCTTTTGTGGAGACCTTGACATTAACAACTTTTTGTTAGTGCTGTTGCAGTGGAAGGTTTGGACATTGAAATGCTTTTGGGAAATGAAAAATCATGCAAGTAGTGGAGGGTCCTTATGTGAATAAGTTAATGACCCTTCCTTGCTTATTTTCGGGAATATCATTAAAAGGTTCATTTGGCACCAATTCATCCAATGTTTACTTTCTAAACTCATTTTAATAATAAAAAGTTTTCTATTATTCTCTTTATATTGATTGATATATACTTAAGTTTATCTTCTATTGCTTAGCCTTTTGTCACATATTGCCATCTATATTTATATCGTGCGGCAGAGCCAATTTTTATTCTTTATGGCAACAGTTGTACACATACATATGCATGGGATGGGGCAGATCTAATTGTGCAAATGATTTGAACTCAATCATTGCAAGTGGTGTTGAGTTAAGCTTTTGACCTTATTCTTGATATGGATTAGTTGTAAAGCAATCATGCTAAGTGTGACTTTGAGGCTTCTCCCCCTTCTCTTATACTTTTTTATATTTCTTTCATTCCTCTCACTTCTATTCTTCTTCATCCCTCTACTTTTACCTTTACTTTCATCATTTATGTCTTCTTATAACTTCTTTCTATATTTTAATCTTGTTCCTCTATTCTCTTTTCTGATCCTTTGAACGGTCTTTGTGTTGTAGTAGTTGACTGGCTCATAAAGGAGTATGTCGATCTCTTTGAATTTGACCTATCGTGTAGATCCAAGATTGAAATATGTCATCCTATTCTAATGGGGGATATTCATTTAATCAAGGTTCCTATTTGTTGTCGGTTACTAAAAGACATCAAGATTTTACATGCAAACATCAAAGAGATGTTGGAAAAGGGTGGTATTTGAAAGTTGTAAAGTCCTTGGGCATATAAACCTCATAAAGCCTGATAAGAGTATTTGTTTCTACATTGACTATTGTTTGTTAAACAATGTGATGATCCTGGATATATACCCTCTTCCTCACATTATTGATCTCTTGAATTGTTTAAAGAGAAGTCATTAGTTCACCAAGTTAAATCTTGTTTTTAAGTAGTGGTGGCCGAGGAAGATATTCCTAAGATTGCTTTTCGTACACTGTTTAGTTTGTACAAGTTTTTGGTGATGTCATTTGGTTTGAACAATGCTCTAACAATTTTTAAGTAGATGATGGACAAGGTTCTTTGAGATATACTAGAAATGATTATTGACTTCATCAATGATATCTTGATCCATTCAAAAGGGATGTGGGAAAAACATATCAGTAATGTTTGTAAGATGTTGGATTGGCTATGGGAAGTTGGTTTAAAGTTGAAGTTGTCGAAGTGTGTATTTAGGTTTAAAGACATGATTTACTTGGGTACCATATTTCTCATAAAGATTTGCAAGTTGATTTTGATAAACTTGTGGCTATTCTTAAGTTCCATACTTCAAAGTGTGTGAATGATGTGTAATGCTTCTTAGGCAAGGTGCAATATCTCGACTTTTTCATTAATCATCTTTCTAATTGTACTATACTATTGTGAGCATTATTAAAGTTATTAATGTTGTCTTTTATCTAATATATGGATTTTGAGCTGGCATTTATAGATCTTAAAGAGTTGTTGATGACTCCTCTAATTTTGGCATATCCTGACTACATTTAACATTTCATTTTGTGTATGGATGCTTTTAATATCAATCTTGGAGGTATATTGATGCAAGAGAGCCCGAGTGTGCCTAGCCAATACCATCCCATTGCATACATTAGCCATACATTATAACCAATAGAGGTAAACTACTCTATGACAAAAGAGTGTTTAGCAGTAATTTAGGGTTTTGAGAAATTTTATGTATTTCTTAGACATTACTAAAAGGTGATTATATTGTAATTACTTCATTATTAAAATGAAAAAACTTAGTTGGTCGTATTGCTTAATGGATTTTGAAGCTTCAGATATATGATTATGAGGTTGTTTATTGCATACGAAGTTTTATGGCTGATATTGACACCCTTTTTTGAGCTCCTATTTTTTCTTTGCTTTCTTCTCAAATTTTTTATGAGCCTATTGTTCCAGTATCTATGAATTTTCTAAATAAGAATTCTACGTCATCAACGATTGTTGTACTTGACGTTCAATATCCATAAGGTGCAAAGAAAAATTTACCTTCTTTTGACGAGGTTCATGAGGCTCAAAAGGTTAAGTTGTGGATCCAAAGGTTTTGCGATGAGTTTGAAAATATTGCATCATTTATTGATGACTTGTTATTTCAGCATTTACATTCTCAATATTACTCGTGTCGAGATGCTATTGGGCATACTGAAGCTTTCTCATAACAGTGGACATGAGAGGAGATATGAAGATCATCGACTCAAATCAAGGTTTGCTCACGAAGTCTGCTATCATCTAGGAAAATGTTCAAAATCCGAGGACACTATGTGTTATCAACATCAACTAGGTGCTCAACCTTTGAATGACAACATTCTTTATTTTGTAGGGATAAATCTTAATAATTATTTATGGTTTATAGTGTTTTTGATCTTTATTCTACACTTTCTCTATGCCTACCATGTTCTCCTATTTTATGTGGGCATGTGGGACATTGTTGTGTGAATGAGAAGCTGCATAAACCTAAGGATATGACATGATGTTATCTGGTATATATATAATTATGTTTGGTGCCAAGTTCATAATACTCCCCCTCAAGGCATAAAAAACACTATAAATTTCAAATATTATATAAGCAAAAGACTTTAGCATCATTCATAACTTGTCTCAAGTTATAAGTAAAGCTCACTCAATGCACCTATTTTAAGGCTGTGTAGCTTGATTATAGTCCCCAAGCATTCCATCCATATAAAGGAGAGGTAAAAATGCTAGAAAAACCTTGGAGTGATACCTAAAACTTTTAACAACTGATTTTTTTCAAAACCTTTTAACACCTGATTCTTTGCATGCCAAGTATTTAGTTGTTTTTGTAAGTGCTTCACACTAATTTCCCTCATAAAATCACATGCACATTCTTAGAGCAAGAATTGCCATGAATCCTAGTGGTAATCTCTTGGTATTCACAAACCCAGCAAGATCTACAACTGTTGATATTGCCCAATTGGCAAAGTTCTTGAAAATATTTAAGTCATATTAGTATATCTATTTTATCGCTGAAAAAATCATCAATAACCCTAGCACAAAAAGAAGCTTATTTACTATCCTACTGCTAAACAATACCAAACACACTCCACAACAATTTTTACCATGGAAGGATGGATCCAAAAAAAGAAAGTTTAAAGAAGAATAGATCCACCATTACTGAGTGGAGGAGCCTTCCCAAAGAACTGGAATTTGGTGACCAAGACACTACTACCTAGTGTACTTGACTTTGCTTGGAACTCCAAGCCTCAAGAACTTGAATGGACCAGGATGATGCACAGCTTTCAAGCCTGCTGACACAATCTAATTCCTATGCACGTAGTATACTTTGTGATGAGTGCTCTGGCAACGATGATAAACTTTGCATGAACCGTGAACATCCCCGTGCTCAAGCAGCACAAACTCCTGGGCCTCCATCTCTGGCACTAGCGTCCTCAGGGGCCAGGACCTCTTGGGCTGGGTGATCCGCTGCTGGGGCGGTGGAAGCTTTGCCGCGGAGGAGGAGCCGCGGTAAAAGGAGAAATTTACCCCTCCTGGGGGACAAACAGACAGGTGTCATGCCCCCCCGTGTCCCCCAGTGCGGCGCACCCTTATTTTGCTACCACCTGATTAAGAGCCCTAAATTTTGCATAAACTGTCCACCTGGATGTATAACAAAATTGATATGAATTGATCAATCAACTTATCAAATGATAAATTCATAATTCAATTAGATCAAATAAATGATCAATTTGAAGCTCCACTATAGATGTCTTTGAACCATTTTCTAACAATGGCTTTTGAGTTTTTAGAACGCACTCCACATGAAATGGATGCAAGGAGTTTGGATGCTGCTACAACTATTCTTACGTAAGACTTGAAATTCTCGTAAACTCTCTAAGCTTGTTTGTCGTCCAGAATTTTCAGCTGGTTTAACGTCACGGTTTGCTTTCCCGCAGAGTCTCCCTGACCTTCAGAAAGATGGATCCTCAGAAACGACCGTATGGCTACAAAAGCTATCGAAGCATGGAGTTTTGGACTAGCTAAAGTATCTACATTTTTCTTTATTTGTCGGTTTTGAGCTTCACCGTTCAGTTCCTAGTGTCTGCTCAAGATGTAGAGCGCTGCGGTAGACGTGATCATCGTGGGGGGCTCCTGGATTCACTGGCAAGCGCGTTCTGGGTGAGCTCCCAGAGGACATGAAGGTGGGTATAGCTGGTTGTAGCCGCCAGAAGATGGAGGAGTCCCTCTCTTGGGCTCTCGGACATACGTCTGAAGAACAGAGGCTCAAGTCGTCCGTGCCGATATTCGAGGCTGATGTTCACGACATGGCTTCTCTTCGGGGGTGCTGGTCAGCTGCGTTGGTCCGTACAGGCTTTATGGAGAGCCCTTTGTGGCTGCTTGCGCGGAATCTGGAATAGACTACTTGGACATCACTGGGGAGCCCGAGTTCATGGAAAGGATGAGGGCCAAGTATCATGAGCAGGCAGTGGACAGGAAAAGTCTGGTGGTGTCCAGTTGTGGATTCGACAGTGTTCCGGCGGAGTTTGGGGTCATCTTCAATACGAAGCAATGGCAAGGCTCTTCGAAGCCAATCTCACGCTGCGTTCCTCGACGCGGATAAAAGGCAACTTTGCAACTTTTGAGTCTGCGGTCCTGGGAATTGCGAGCGTTGGGGAGCTTCAAAAGCTCAGGAAGTCGAGGCCAATTAGATCGCCAAGACTCCAGGTTTGTTTGTGCGTCGTCCTTTTTTTTTTCTCCGTGGATAACTTTGTTCGTTTACTAGATTCCAGGAGTGCCGCTGAAACGCCCTGCGGTGCACTGGGAGGACGCAGTAAATTCCTGGGCCGTCAAGATCCCTTCGTCCGACGCAGTCCTGGTTCGTAGGACTCTTGCAACAGTAGCCGAGAACCCAGACGGCCTTCCTACAGCTTCCAAGCATCAAGAACAGTCCTTAAAGCAGTGGACGGACATCAAGCCTGTGCTCTTTGGCGTCTACTTGAGCGTCAAGGAGCTCTGGCGTCTACTTTCTGCTGCTCACGGGATTCATTCTCTACGTCCTGGCAAACTTTGGTTGGGGTAGAAAGCTCCTGCTCAGCCATCCGGAGGTTTCCACAGGGGGAGTTTTCAGCAAGACGGGCCTTCGCAGGAGGAGATTGATAACTCCTCTTTCTCGATGGTGTTCGTGGGCCGCGGCTTCAAGGACGCTAGCAAAGTTCCTCCCGGGAAGAAACAGCAACCGGACACGGAGATCATCACGCGAGTAACAGGTCCGGAGATTGGATACGTGACGACGCCTATCATTCTCGTCCAGGCGGTGCTGCTCGTACTGAAAAACCGCGATAAACTCCCCAAAGGTGGCGTGTGGACTCCTGGTGTTGCATTTGGAACCGCAAAACAATGGCTTGTCGTATGACGTTATTAGCAAGCATTAGATAAACCTTGGCCATAAAACTTAGATTTAATTTGTGTTTATAATAAACTTTTACATTGATTTATGTTTAACAAGGTGTGCAGCATATTATTAATAACTTCATTCAGCTCTTGACTTACTGTTTAGCAGATTTTCGTTGATGGATCTAAAAACGTTCCACTTAAGAAGAACTCTGCTACTATTTGATAATAATGTTGGGTGTAGTGAACACCATCCCAAGATATGTAAGTACTGGGATTTAAACAACTTGATATACCAGGTGTTCCACATGGTTGGAAAGGAGAATAATTATATGGTGCCCCAGTTCCGCAGCAAGCATCTCGTATATTCGTAAAACCTGCTTTGAAGTTTAAGTAAATAGCATATATATCAGCATCAGACTTACCGTAAGCTGAACTATTTTGAAGGATCTTATAGTAAGGGTTATACATATCTGCAATGTAGAATTTGGCGTCAGTGTATTGATTTCGTAGAGAAACCACAGCGTCCACAAGTTTTGAGTTGAAATATTGAGAAATGTTATTAAACGCAATAAGGCACTGATAAGAATCATATGCTGTCGGATTTGGAGATGCAAAAATAGTCTTAAATGATGGAGTGCAGCCCAATGGTGTTATTGTGAACACTAAAATTTTTCTACCACCTTCGTTATAAAGTAACTAGCAAAACAACAAGGCTAAGGTTTTGGTTATTGGAAATCAAAATAACCTCACTTGTAAAGAAGATTTGATAGCTGCAACTGCTGTGGGTATAGTAATGTTTGCAATATATGATAGAGATTTATTGTTGTAGATTATATTATTAATAATGTCATTACCTCCAATTTCTACAGCATAAAGGAATGTTTGATAAAACTTTAGTGGAGGTAATGACTTCCTATATGCATCTGTTTAAAAACCGAAATAAAATTAATACTCTCATAATTTTTATAATATAATTACCTCTGTTTGAATTGTAACCCGATTGTAATCTCTGTTTAAACTGCAAAAATTGTTGCAGCTGGTAAGAGAAATATATGGGATTTTGAAAGACGGTGTTGAGTGCTGTTGAGCCAGCCTGAGCAAAGTTGACACCAGTCCTATAATCTGGATTAATAGTCACAAAATAAGGCTCTGGATACTTGAACTTTAAGCCAGCACCTGCGAGAAGATCTTAGAAAAGTTCATAATCACACATAGCCATACTTATGTAATCAATAATAAGCCTTCCATCTGAAAATCTTCCAGTTGGACTTCCTGGATAAGTTATACCATAAGGAGACTGATTTCCTGGATTACTTGGAAACACATTAGCAGAGGCTCCTGTGTCTGAAAGAGAATCCCCAAATATGATAATTCCATCTACACATTGGGGTAGTGGTGGTAAATGTGTGCATAATGCAAAAGAAAATAGTATGCTGAAAAATGAAATAATACAGGAAAACCTCATCTTGTTAATTTCTGAGTAGCTTGGATGAGTGTTTCCTAGATCACTTAAACATTTTTATATGAAGTGGAGGAACTCAACTTTGCTACTAATATATTGCAATCTAAGTAATAAGTATATATGATTTGTTTTAGATCTTGTAATGCCTATCTAGAAGCATAAGATCCCAACATAATATATGCTCTACCACAATACAGTCTATCACAATATAATCTCACCCATCTTTTGTTAGATGTTAGTTGGACAAATTTGCACGAAACTAGCAAAGAATCTAACTATGCTGGCCTAGATAAACATAAGATATTTTATTAAAATAGAAAATTGTTCAAATAGAAAAGATTGTAGCACAACTTGATTGGTTTGTTGTGGTGTTATTTTAGTAATAAATTATAATCTTTCAAATTAATAAAAATAATTACTATAAAGTTATGGTGGCTGTTAACTACAAGGTCGGAGTTTTAAACCTTCTTTGTAAAAATAATAATGGGAACTAATATTTTTAACACTAAAGCCATAATATTATTCCACTACATCATTTGGAAAGGATGTAGGATATTAAATCCAAGACTAAACTTTATTTCCATATTTTCAAACTCTCCTAAATGTAAAATAAATTATAATCAATCTTTAAAAATGTAGTAGGAGAGTCCTTACAAACCAAGGTCTTCAAGGGAGTGAATGACTATAAGGTGGTGGAGGATTGGTTTTATGATATGGAGGACTAAATCTCCTTGTATTTGTAACAAAAACTTGTCACTCGAGTATCAATTTCCACACTAGAATTTATGTAGTTTAAAGAAAGCTTAGACAATAACCAAGGTACTTAGACAATAGTTGAGAAAGAGGTTATAGGAGTGATATGTGTGCTAGTCCATCAAATAATTTGTATTTCTTGCATCCTCCTTTGCCATCATGTGGGGAGAATGTAAGAGGTACAAGATTTTAAATAGAGCCTAAAAGACCCTAAACGGTAAACATTATATGATGGCTTAAAAAGAATTAACCATGTTAAGTAATCTTGACATCCATCCTCTTATCATTAGAGTAGCATGTTTTGATGTATTTTGAAGAAGATGGGTCAAGGGTGCTACTATCTTTGAAAAGTCCTTCATAAATTGTCAAAAAACTCCAGCTATACCATAGAAACTATGCATTATCGAAAGTATAGGCCAATTAACCATGACTTGAATCTTTGCATGATCAACTCTCACTCTATATACTAAAATCAAATGCCCAAAATATCCACTCTCCTTTAAGAAAAACTCACATCTTGATAACTTCAAGTAGAGCTTGTTGTCTCTCAAAAGGTGCAAAACACTTCATATATGCATCTCATAATCCTCCATTTAAGAGTTGAATACTAGAATATCATCAAAATAATCAATTGCAAACTTTCCCAAGTAAGGTTGTAGAACTTAATTCAATTTCTGAAAAGTTGCAGGAGCATTTGTCAAACCAAATAGCATCACTAAAAACTTGTAATGACCCATCCTTATTCAAATTACAGTTTTTGGAACATCCTCTAGTTTGACACAAATCTAATGATACCCTTGCCTCAAATCAATCTTTGAAAAATATCAAGCATCACGAAGATGATTGAAAAAATCATCAATACAAGGGATTGAAAACATATTCTTCACTATCCTACCACTCAATCCCTTGTAATTCATGTAGAGATGCTATGTACCATCTTCTTTCTTGACTATCACTATTGGAACAGCCCAAGGAGACTTGCTAATCTATAACCATCCTTTTTGAAGGTATTCAGCAAATTACCTATTAATTTCCTCATCTTCAGTAGGATTAATATGAGTCAGTTGATGCTGATAAAGAGTAGCTCCAAGAACCAAGTCAATATTATGTTGAATTCCATGTTCAAGAAGCAAACCATCATGCAATTCATCCGAAAATATATCACAAAACTTGATATGCACCAATTTCAATATGTAGAACATTACACTCCCAATCAATCCCTAGCCTTCCGTCATCAAACCAATCAAGATCCATAACATAGAACGAAGGATAACTGTCAAAAGAACATTCAAAGCCCATTCACCATAAATATGAGTGCTATGTCCATTTGCTATAACCACTTTGTAAATTATTGAACTTTTTTCCATAGACAAACTAAGTTTCTTCATTACCCTAGAGCTCAAAAAGTTGTGAGTAGCACATATATTGAAAAGAATACTAACAACACTACCTTGAATATCCCCCTTGGCTTTCATAAGTTGATTGTGCATAGAACCATTAATCTCTACAAAGTTGATACAAACTCAAAATTTAGATTCTTAAACTTTTGCTACAGGGTGTGGAAAAGCCACCATAGCATATGCTTGAGTTGTATTCATGATAAATTCTACCACATTCACTTTAGCATTCTTTGATCCCTTCACAAAAGGGCAATCCTTGCCGTGATGTCTAGTATTGTGACGACAAAAACAATTGCCCTCCATCTTGTTTTTCTCTTGTTGGTCCAAATAATATTTTTTTGCCTTATTACCATCTCCACTCTTCGAGCCACAATAGAAAAACAGTTGTTTCTTCCCAGAAGATGAAGTATTGGCAAGTTGGTCATCATATTAATTACCCCATAGACCATCCTATTTACTAGAGTTGACTAAGTTGATTGATGGTTTGGGTGAAAAGATTTAAGCTTTAGTGATAGCATCAATGAATATTGTTGGAAAATCATTCTTGACTTTTTATTATACATCCATAATCAATCATTTGATGAAACATTGCACCTTTAGCAACTCATTATAGGTGCCCATGATACTAAGACAAAGATCATGAAACATACAAGCATGCCAAGGATTATGGTATTATGGAATGGAAGTTATCATCAAGTGTTTCTGATAGTTAAGAGGTTTATTCTTAGAAGTTTGAAGAGGTTGATCTCATGATTCAACTGTTAAAGATCCAGCAGAGAACTTTGTCTTTTGATGCATATGCCCACAAGTTCTATGATCTTTGCCTTAGTCTCATAGGCACCTCTAATGAGCTGCTAAAGGTGTAATGTTTTATCAAAGGTTTTAGCTCGGTGGATGTATAGTAGAAGGTTAAGAAGGATTTTCCAGTAACGTTGATTGATGCTATCATTAAGGCTCAAATCTTTTCACCCAAACCATTAGTCAACTTGGTCAACTCTGGTCAACGGGATGGTCTGTAGGGTAGTCAACATGATAACCCACCAATACTTTATCCTTGGGGAAGAAATGGCCTTTGGTCCATCGTAGCTTGAAGAGTGGAGATGGTAACGAGGCCAAAAGACATCATTTGGACCAATAGGAGAAAGACAAGATAGAAGGCAATTGTTTTCATTGCCATAGGATTGGACATCAAGGCAAAGATTATCCTGAAGGGGTCAATGAATTTTTAAGGTGAATGTGGTGGGATTAATTATGGATACAACTCAAGGATTTACTGTGGTGGATCTTTCATATCTAGCCTTTTGTGATCGACATAGATGTAAATAATATTGCTATTGGAGCCGTCTTGCTTCAAGTTGGGCATCCTCTTGCGTATATAAGCTATAAATTTGATGCCACATAACGGAATTGGCCTACTCGAGACAAGGAGTTGTATGCTATGATTGCTGCTGTGAAGGAATAGCAATATTATTTGTAAGGATTGGACTTCCATGTGGATTCAGACCATTAGTCTCATTAGTATTTCAATTGACAAAAGGATCTTCAAGATTGCCTTGCTTATTGGCAAGAATTTCTGCAGGAAATGTTTATTAAGATCTAATGCAAGTATGGAGGTGACAATAAGATGGCTGATGCATTATCTAGGATGGTAAATTTTATCTTGTTTGTGAAGCTATCTAGCAATTTCTTGGATGAGCTCAAAGAATTTGTTGACTTGTATATTGAATGACACAAACTTGTCACCTTTCAAATCTATAAAGGTGTCCCTCAACACCTGAGCACGTGCTTTTTACCCTTTATCTTATGGTGATTTACCATAGGATAACACCACGAAGCAGAACCTAAACCCTTTATATGCCACGTGGCACATGCCACGTGTCCATAGGACAGTGGTGTGGAACCTGAGGTTTAGAGCCTTGGGCCACTAAATGAAGGAACAATGCCAAACCCCCAAGCATGGAGGCAAAAAGTGATGGAATCGGACTATAGAGCAACTTTCGAGCATACAACCCAAAGAGCGAAGGGACAGGAACCTGGAGCGGCTTGGAACAGTCCTAGAGCAACGAGCATCCCAATGCTAGGACTAGCATGCAAAACGGAGCCAAACAGAGTCTGGCGTTATTTCGGCATACTGGTGGCCTAACGCAAGGATATGGGTACTCCACTAGCTAGCATGGTGTGGAGCTTGGGCTTAGACCCAAGCTAGATGCAGAACAAAGACTGGCATGCAAGTGGGAGCTAGATTATGCCTCAGGTTGGTCGGCCATGCCCGACCTACCCACTATCCCTACTATACATTTGGAACCCCCCATATCCCCCCTTGAGGAACACATGTTTTAGGCTTTCACCCCAAGCTTCCCTTAGTATCAGGAGTTAGTCTCTGGGACAAGCTCAAAACTTACTAAATATAGAATGGTGCTAGAATCCAAATTTGGACACGGGACGAACACCATTGTGTTCAAGCCAATCTCTACATTCCGTAGATATGCCAAATGAGCAAATCTAGACACTTTCCATAAATAGTATTTAGGACTGAAATAACACTAACATAAAGGGCATGATAGCGAGGGTGTTTGGCAAACATGGTAAGCTATCATCCAGTGATATTGAAGGACCAATCTCAATACGCGAGGGTTCTTGTCAAGCCAGTGCAAGACAGAGCAAAAGAGAACTAAGAGCCAAGCCGAGTATGCTTAGCTAGAAACACATAGGAGTTCCTACCTTATGTC